GAGTTTAGGGCTGTTGTACATAGGGTTGCTATGAGTTGCAAACAACTCAACAACACATAACAACAACAACAATAAGGGAAATGAGTATATAGGAAGCTTTCTATATTAATTTTGCAGTTGCTCTACAAATCTAAATTTTCTCAAATAAATGGTGTTGATAAACAGGGCTAAGTTTAATTTATTAAATTTCTCCTGTTCATTTCTCTGTAGATCAAAATTTTTGGTGATGTGATAGTCTCCTCATTAAAGGACTTTGCAACATTTCTCATTGTGGAGGTTTGGTGCCAATAGATTACCATATTTTGTTTGTCTGAGAAAGTCTGTCTTTACTGTTCACCTTTTAAAAGAGAATTTTGCTGGGTATGGAATTCTAGGCTGACAAGCTTTTTGGGTTTTTTAAGATTTCAACACTTTACATGTTACTTCATTGCTTTCAAGCTGCTATAGCTTCTGAGGATAAAGCAATAATTTGTATCTTTATTCAGTTATATGTAGTATGTTACTTTGGCTCCTTTGAAGTTTTATAGTCTTTGCTTTTTGCAGGTAAGTGTGCATGGATGTGTGCACATGAACCTTTATGTACTGGCCAACTATTTTTTTCTACATGGTAGTTGTTGTTGTGTACCATTGACTGAACTGACCCACAGCTGACCCTCTAGTGAGTTTTCAGAGGTAGTCAATCACATGGGAGAAGACTGCTCATCCTCCTGCAAAGCAGCTGGTGGACTTGAACTGTATGTCTTCAAGACTGCAGCACTGTTTCTTGTCACTAGGCCACCAGAGCAACCATGGTGGCTATTTCTTCTTCAAGTAATTCTTCTACTCAATTATCTCCCTCTCAGATTCCAATTTCATGCATGCTGGATCATTTGATAAGAATCTCACAGCTTCTGAATACTTCATGATTCCAGTTTGCTTGGTTTCCTCCCTTTCATTTCCTTGCTTTATTTTTGGTTTACAGTTTTTTGTCTTTGAATTTCAGCTTTGGTGAAGCCTATTGACTGATTTTAAAATTCTTTGCTTATTTCCCTGGCTGTATCAAATAAACTAATGAGTCTGTTGACAGCATTCTTCATTACCAGTTTGGTAGGTTGTTGTTTTTTTTTTTTTAAAAAAATCTATCACTCCCACATAATTTTTCTTATAGTTTATTTTTCTCTGCTGATACTACATGATCATACATGTTATCTTTTACATTTCTATTTATCACAACTATTTAAAATTATCATTTAGTTTCAATATTTGTATCATAGCTGAAACTGATTGTGTTGTTTTGTGTCTTCTAGCAATGCATGGCTCATATAGTCCACACTTGTTACAAAAAGTCAGAAAACATATGCAGGACAATAAATTATGGTAACAAATTTTTATACCTACGAATAAGAGTTTTACTTTCTGTTAGGATTTCAGGGCAAGGCTTGGATTAATTAAGAATGGGACAAGGGAGGAGCTCTGGTGGCCTAGTGGCAATAAGCTGCACTGTAATCCCAGAGGAACGCGGTTCAAATCCACCAGATGCTCTGCCAGAGAAGGAGGTGCAATATCCTCCTGTACCAGTCAGATCTGATTTGACGGTACACGCACACAAAATAATAATTAAAAAAAAAAAGAGAAAGAATGAGACAAGGCTTGACCTTAAGTGTTGCTATGGTTGCCTTCTGTGTATCTGCCATAGACTTCAAATCTCTCTGGAGGATAAGGAAGTTGGATTTCTCGTTCCATCTATTCCCCTGACTCTAATGGCTGCTCTTGTCTTCAGCCACTTCTTTGGGTTGTTTTTCAGAAATGGCCTATTTCAAGGTACTTACTACTTGATGCTTACTATTGGCAAATGAGAGTTAAGAAGGCTTTCTGCTTTTCAAATAAGTTTTATTTAGCCTCAATGTTAATTAGGCATTATGTCTAAGTCTTTGGGTTGTGATCATCTCAGATATTCTAGTATTTTCTCAGCAGCTTTACACCCTCATGTGTCCCTTCACTTCTACCCAAGCTGAGGTAATTTCCCTTTTCCATTTCCACATAGGTAATGGTGATGTGATTTTGTTACTATCATTAAATTATCTTTGTTGTCTCACAGAAGAAAAAGGGTTGAAGAAAATTCAGACATATTTTTCTGCCTCTACCAAAATGGCCCTCCTTCCCGTCTCCTATTTCTAAACCAAAAAGGAGACACTTTTGGTGTACTTCCAATCTTGTCTGCAGAAGACAAGGACTGTAGTCTTCAACATGTATTGAAGTTTAACATCAAGAAGACAAAGATTCTCACCACTGGGCCAACTGGCAACACTATGATAGATGGAGAAGAGATTGAGGTTGTTAACAATTACAGCTTGCTCGGCTCCATTATCAACACTCTTAAAACCAGCAGTCAGGTAATCAAGAGATGAAATACACTGAGAAAATTTGCTGTTACGGACCTCTCCAGAGTCTAGCGACTAAGGTGTGCACACCAGGCAATTCCTTAAAATTAATTAAAAGTCTTTGCTACTATTTGCTATGCATCAGAAAGTTGGATAATGACAAAGATGACAGAAGAAGAATCGATGCATCTGAATTGTGGTGCTGGAGAAGAGTCTTAAAAAGAACATACCTTGGACTGCCAAGAAAACAAATAACTTTGTCTTGGAGAGGATGAAACCAAATTTCTCCTTGGAGGCTAGGATTCTGAAGCTTTGTCTCACGGGTGGAGGGCCAGTACAGGAGAGGAAGACTCCAGATGAGAAGGATTGGTGTGTGTGTGTGTGTGTCTCTCTCTCTCTCTCTCTCACACACACACACACACACACACACACACACACACACACCCCCTTCTCTCTCTCTCTTCACTTGCTCAGAGAACAAATGTTTTATAAACATATATTTAGAATTCCAAAGTACATGAGGCTGGAATTGTAACAATGGAGGAAAAGCTGTTATACAGAATTAAAGAAACAGGTTATTTGGTAGGGAATAAACAAAGAAAAATTATTTGAAGAATAACTCATCCAAGCTTTTACACATTCCTCTTTACAATAGCTCTCTCTGTTGTATAGAATTTCCTAGCCAATAACAGTATTTTTTACATAGAAAATCAGGTGCATTAGATTACTGTAAATAGGTCAAGCACAGAGTTTATCAATTTAGGCAATGAGATATCTAAGCAAAAATCCCAGGATGCGGGAAAAAAAAAATCAAGCAAAACAACCTCGCTCTATTTTACTTTAATTGAGGGGCCAATCCTTAGAAAAAGGCATCATGCTTGGAAAGAAAAGAAAATCCTCAATGATATGACTGACACAGTGACTGCAACAATGAAAAAAAACATGGACAAAATTTTGAGGGCAAGGTTTGATCTTTTGTTCACAATGTCACCATGGGTCTTAGTGAACTCATAAGCATATAACAACAACAATGACATTAATGAGCCTATTTTCAATCTTTTCTCTGTGCAATGAAAATAGACGTGTAAAGTCAAACACTAATTTTGAATGGCACTAGACATTATGGAAATATCTAGATTCAAATGGAGAAACAGAAAACTAAAGAAATATATAATAGATTGTGCATAAAATACATGCTTTAGGGTTCGGGAGAAAGGTTCAATTTACCAAAGGAGGCATCATGCCCTTGCTTGAAGGTGGGATAACAACACGCAGGTCTGGTTTCCGACTATTCATTCCAAGACTGTTACCACCAGGAGGAGGCGGAGACTTTGTGGGCATAACTTTGCCTAAACTATTCGCACCAGTATTTCCAATCAAATTTGGAGACGCTCTTGAGTTTACAAATCCATTGCCTGGAAAAAAAAAAAAAGAAACGGTCATTCAAATGAATACCTGGCACAGATCCTATAAAAAGACACATTAGTTGCTAACCATGTATCTTTGGATATTTTAAAAATAGGCAAAGGATGTCAACAAATTCGGAAATATATAAAACTCAAGACAAATGCCACTTATTTTCAGCCTTACTGCTTGAAGCTACTTAGAGATACTTAATATAAAACACAAGTTTCCAACAGTGTGTCTCATACTAGAACCAAGACTTGGGAGACACTGTAAGAAAATACTAGACACTGTCCTGTTCATGCATTCTTGCAAAGCACTGTTTTATTAGCTTCGAGGTATTAGGGCTATCCTGTCATTGGCACACAGCTCTAATGCCTCATATTCCCCAGGCATTTCTACCTTATGGCTCTCTCCCTCCCAGTTCTGCTTCTTCAGCTGTCATTAAGGCCTTCATTAAATATTTACAGTCTATCTGACTTTAACCATCTTATTCATGCTTTTTCATTTTCCCCAATCATAGTACTTTTGGGTCTTACCTGAGATATAAAATACAATCTAAGAGTATTTCTATTTTCAAGTGTATTCTTCTTCTCATGTGTAAAGCCACGTGGTTGAATTGAACCTTCCTTACCACAGAGTGGCTTAGTGACAGACTTTTGACATAGGCCTGATCCAACAAGGATGCAACATTTCCTCTCATCACGGTAGTTGACGCCAGAAATGTCGAGTTAGAGATTAGATAAAGAAATACTTTAGAATTTAGAGCCCAAATTAGCCAGATTTACGGCCTATGAAAACCCCCTGGAAGATCAGCTATGAGTTGGTGTTGCCTCAAGAGTAAATAACATATTATAAAGTTTGACAATATGTAGGAAATTAAAGCATGCAGAAAAGACATTCAGCCTATATTTATTATATACTCCCTGTAAGTATAAAATGGTACAACCTCTATGGAAAGCGGTGTGGTGCTTTCTCAAACAGTTGCAAATAGAGATACCATCTGATCCAGCAATGCCAATACTAGGAATGTATATACCCTAAAGAGACCATAACCGACATCCAAGCAGATATATGCACACCCATGTTTATCACAGCTTTGTTTACAATAACAAAGATTTGGAAACAACTTAAGTGCCCATCAACAAACGAATGGATAGAGAAGCTGTGGTATATTCACACAATGGAATACCAGGCTGCACTGAAAAACAAGGAACTCATGCAATATTATTAAAAATGGGAGACCCTGGACGACATTATGCTGAGTGAAATATCTCAGTCACAAAAGGACAAATACTGCATGGTGCCACTGTTGTAGAAAGGGACTGACATCAGGGTGGGGGTAAGACTGAGAAAAACTGGATGAATTATGTATACTGCATTGAAGCCAATGACAGAAAGAACAGGTTAAAAGCAATATATTTTAGGGCATTATGATTATCATAAGAGTTTAGAATGAGGGTTGCAGAGTGGAATATACTCGAGGTGGGGGTGCGGGGGGGATTGTATACCAATGAAGGAGTTTTTCTTTTGCTTTTCAAGGAGAAGAACGAACTGG